TAGCCGAGTAATCTAATCCCAGCCTAGTAATCTAATCCCAAACTAGTAATTTCATCCTAGCCTAGTAATCTAATCCCAGCCTAGTAATCTAATCCCAACCTAGTAACTAATCCTAGCCTAGTAATCTAACCCCAGCCCAGTAATCTAATCCTAGCCTAGTAATCTAATCCTAGCCTAGTAATGTAATGCTAGCCTAGTAATCTAATCCTAGCCTAGTAATCTAATCCCAGCCTAGTAATCTACACCTATCCTAGTAATCTAATCCTAGCGCAGTAATCTAATCCCAGCCGAGTATTGTTGTCCTAGCCTAGTAATCTAATTCTAGCCTAGTAATTTAATCCCAGCCTAGTAATCTAATCCTAGCCTAGTAATCTAATTCTAGCCTAGTAATCTAATCCCAGCCTAGTAATCTAATCCTAGCCTAGTAATCTAATCCCAGCCTAGTAATCATAGCCGAGTAATCTAATCCCAGCCTAGTAATCTAATCCCAGCCTAGTAATCTAATCCTAGCCCAGTAATCTCATCCTAGCCCAGTAATCTAATCCTAGCCGAGTAATCTAATCCTAGCCTAGTAATCCTAGCCGAGTAATCTAATCCCAGCGTAGTAATCTAATCCCAAACTAGTAATTTAATCCTAGCCTAGTAATCTAATCCTAGCCTAGTAATCTAATCCCAACCTAGTAACTAATCCTAGCCTAGTAATCTAATCCCAGCCCAGTAATCTTATCCTAGCCTAGTAAATCTAATCCTAGCCTAGTAATCTAAGCCTAGCCTAGTAATGTAATGCTAGCCTAGTAATCTAATCCTAGCCTAGTAATGTAATCCCAGCCTAGTAATCTACACCTATCCTAGTAATCTAATCCTAGCCCAGTAATCTAATCCCAGCCGAGTATTGTTATCCTAGCCTAGTAATCTAATCCTAGCCTAGTAATCTAATCCCAGCCTAGTAATCTAATCCTAGCCTAGTAATCTAATCCTAGGCTAGTAATCTAATCCCAGCCTAGTAATCTAATCCCAGCCGAGAAATGTAATCCTAGCCTAGTAATCTAATCCCAGCCTAGTGATCTATTCCTAGCCTAGTAATCTAATCCTAGCCTAGTAATCTAACCCTAGCCTAATAATCTAATCCTAGCCTAGTAATCTAATCCTAGCATAGTAATCTAATCCCAGCCAAGTAATCCTAGCCAAGCAATCTAATCCTAGCCCAGTAATCTAATCCTTGCCTAGTAATCTAATCCTAGCCTAGTAATCTAATCCTAGCCTATTAATCTAATCCTAGCCTAGTAATATTATCCTAGTCAAGTAATCTAATCCCAGCCAAGTAATCCAATCCTATCCTAGTAATGTAATCGTAGCCAAGTAATCTAATCCTAGCCAAGTAATCCTAGGCAAGTAATCCTAGCCTAGCCAAGTAATCGAATCCTAGCCAAGTAATCTAATCCTAGCCAAGTAATCCTAGGCAAGTAATCCTAGCCTAGCCAAGTAATCGAATCCTAGCCAAGTAATATAATCCTAGCCTAGTAATCTAATCCTAGCCAAGTAATCTAATCCTAGCCTAGTAATCTAATCCTAGCCTAGTAATCAAATCCCAGCCTAGTAATCTAATCCTAGCCTAGTAATCTAATCCTAGCCTAGTAATCTAATCCTAGCCAAGTAATCTAATCCTAGCCTAGTAATCTAATCCTAGCCTAGTAATGTAATCCTAGCCTAGTAATGTAATCCTAGCCTAGTAATCTAATCCTAGCCTAGAAATCTAATCCTAGCCCAGTAATCTAATCCCAGCCGAGTATTGTTATCCTAGCCTAGTAATCTAATCCTAGCCTAGTAATCTAATCCTAGCTTAGAAATCTAATCCTAGCCTAGTAATGTAATCCTAGCCTAGACATCTAACCCTAGCCTAGTAATCTTATCCTAGCCTAGTAATCCTAGCCTAGTAATTCTAGCCTAGTAATCTAATCCTAGCCTAGTAATGTAATCCTAGCCTAGAAATCTAATCCTAGCCTAGTAATCTAATCCTAGCCTAGTAATCCTAGCCTAGTAATCCTAGCCTAGTAATCTATTCCTAGCCTAGTAATCCTAGCCTAGTAATTCTAGCCTAGTAATCTAAGCCTAGCCTAGAGCATGCATGATGGTGGTGGTGGTGGCGGCGGCAATACTGTGGTTCAGGAGCTCGATGGCAACGCCGAGGTCTGCTGCTGGCCACGGCGAGAGGGGCGTCAGGACAGAGGGAGAGAGAGTTCGTGTTGTTTTGTTGTTCCTCCTCCTCCGTTGAGGCAGCGCAGCGGCTTTACTACTGCACACATTCCCTCGCGATGACATCACGATGCACTGGAGGGACGCGTCAGCTTGAGGAGTCTTGCGACAAACAAAAGACAATCCCCGACCGCTGAGAGATTTCCAAATGGATTCTTCATCGGTGCCGATAGCACAGCGCCGATAGCACAGTTGAGATAAACCAAGTGTGAGGGGTGGGGGGTGGAACAGGAGGCTGGAATGGAACGCTCTTACTATTTCCATTACCCCGAGCCAAATAGAAATCATGGGACGATACCGTCAGCGACGTATAAGTCCGTGTTGATGCCGCTACGATCCCGGTAAATTTGCGTGTTGCCAAAAAGAGAAAAAGCGCATCCCCGCCTGTGAAAAGAATAAAATAAAAAACATTTTGCTGTCCGGCATCTCCCTATTAGAACAACAACAAGAACAAAAACAACAACTACAGACACAGAAACTATCGCAAAGTTTGCGGCGCTGATCGCAAGAGACAAGCGAGACACGGGGAGATAAATGAGGAACGGAGAACGGGAAAACTTTTATTCCACGTTATTTCGAGCGGGGGGAGGGGGGGGGGAGAAGAAGTAAAGGGAGGCAATTTCGTCACCATCGCAGCGAGATGGGAGAGGGGAGAGAACGGCAGCCCGGACGGAGCCGTGCAATCGCCTGCCGTGCGCCAGGGAGATTACATTCGGAGGCCGGGCCGCTACGGTTTGTCAAGCCTCTTGAGCAGTGGGGGAGTTGGGAGGGGGGGGCACGGGGGGACGCTGGCCGACGGGATGCATAGCGGCGGTGGCGGCAGCGGTGCGAGGAGCTTGTGTGGGGTTTTTTTTTTAAAGAGCTTTATATATTTTTATATTTTTATTTATTTGAAAAATCCCACGTGTGGAGGAGGTCAAGCCCCAGCAAATATGAACCCGGAGTGGCGACGGGGCTGTCGAGGCACGCGCTCGATTTTCGGGGGGGGGGGCGTGTGGAGCCCCCACCCCACTGGATTGACTGGGAGCGCCCCCCTCCCCGCTCCCCCCCTACCCCCCCCCCCCGCCTCCCGGCCGTGCCGACCCCGTGTGATTGAAATCAAATCCGCTGCGCTCGCCTCCTCAGCTCTGCCGGAATCCCTCGGCGCAAAGTAGTGGTGGCCAAGTGGCCCAAGGCCGGCCGTGGCTGTTGGCACGCGGTCGGCGAGAGGGGGGGGGGGGGCAGGCACAGTGACCCCGCGGAGCCCGGCGCTCCCAAGCGCCCAGCCCGGCGCTCCCAAGCGCCCAGCCCGGCGCTCCCAAACGCCCAGCCCGGCGCTCCCAAGCGCCCAGCCCGGCGCTCCCAAGCGCCCAGCCCGGCGCTCTCAAACGCCCAGCCCGGCGCTCCCAAACGCCCAGCCCGGCGCTCCCAAGCGCCCAGCCCGGCGCTCCCAAGCGCCCAGCCCGGCGCTCTCAAACGCCCAGCCCGGCGCTCCCAAGCGCCCAGCCCGGCGCTCCCAAGCGCCCAGCCCGGCGCTCCCAAGCGCCCAGCCCGGCGCTCCCAAGCGCCCAGCCCGGCGCTCTCAAACGCCCAGCCCGACGAGAGCGATGTCCCCACCGTGGGGCGGGGCGACCGCGCGTCGCCCACGCGACCCCCACGGCTTGCGGGCGAGGCAAGAGGCAGGCTTCTTCGAGGAAGTCGACCCAATGCAATCTCATCTGCTGAAATCTTCAACGGTGCTCTTTGTTGCTGATCGAGTTTTTTGTGGGGGTGGCTGTGCCAAGCAATGGTGGTTAAACAGAATCATCATCCTTGGTCTTACACGAGTGATGCGTGTGCCTTGCCGGCCTTCACAGCTGCTCCTCGCTCACAGTACGAGCCCCAACACTCTGTTAAAGGCTGTACGGGGGATCTTTAAATTTGTCTTTGTGGGGAGCAGTGGCACAGTGGTTAGAGCATTGCAATACGAACCCTGGTGACTTGGGTTCGACTTCCGGTCACGACCAACATCAGTGGCCCGTGATATCTGAACCAGTCCCAATCAGTTCCGGGCCTCCCTGAGGTTTATTCAGCCCTCAAATGGTTACCTCAAGTTCTGTATAAACATCGGTACCTGGGAGACAAAGGTGGTCGGGTGTGGTGCTGGACACACCGCCATTCCATTGTCTCGTGATGATCGAGAATTTGGAAAAGTTTTCTGACCAAAAAAAACTTCACAACAACCGTAATTGTTCTCGATTGAATTTGAGAGATATTCGTCCTGATTAACTCACTTAAAATCCGAGACTTGTGTAACTGCATTCGTAATAATGTTTTGCAATATTAAGTTGAAAAATGTAAAGTTGGAGCAGCGGAATTGGTGCGCAATGGTTTACGCTAATTGCTTAAAACTTTGTTTTCAATAATAAAAAATCGGTCAATTTTGCAGCCAATGCAATGATTCCTTTGCGATGGAAAATTAATGGACCGTTTTCCGACTCCCTCACCGATCTGTGTGGATTACCAGTTGACTGTTTATGCCTTTGCTCAGGTCGGAAGATTGAAGCAGACACCTCTAACGTTGTGTGTGTCTCTCTCTCCCGTCTCTTTCTCTATTTCCCTGCCCATATCTCTCTCTCTCTCTATCTCCCTTTACCTCTCCTCGTCTCTCACTCTGTCCATTGCTTCTCTCCTCCAACCTTGACACTGCCTTCCCTATCTCTCCCTCCCTCACCTCCCCCGTCTTCCTCCCTCTCTCCCTCTGTCTCACCGTGCCTTCACACCTTTAG